TATTTTGGAGGGTTTATTTTGGCTGTGTTTTTTCACCTTTGAATAAATTAAGATTATTGGCCTTTAATTCCAAAGATCCCCGACGAAGCATGGCTGGCTGGGGAATTCTGGGAGTTGAAGTCCACATATCTTAAAGTGGCCAAGGTTGAAAAACACTGTGCTAAAACATGACTAAAATGAATTTTCCTCACGATCGGCTCCATATCTGATTTACTTGACTATCACAATAAGGTGCCAGCAACCACACATTTTCAAGTAACGTTAATCTGTTTCACAAAATCCCAAGACCGCTGAAAAGCTAAACATGAAGGTAATGTACATGCTAATTTGGCATCACCGAGTCAATCTCAAAAATCTAAGCAGGGTCAAAGCTAGTTAATACTTGGATGGGAGACCACCAGGAGATCCCAGAACTATAGGCTAGACTGAATTTTAAAAAAAGAATCCTAAAAAAAGATGGTGACAAATCACTCCTGTATTGTTGTCAAGAAAACTACATGGGTGTGTTTGTAAGTCACCAGGCGGGAGACTTTATGTATATGTGTGTGTGTGTGTGTATACACACACACACACACATACACACACACATTTTATTTTTATATTTATATTTATATTTTTTAAATGCTCATTTGCTAGGAATACTTGATTAATGAGAACAGGCAAAGCCACTCACCCAAAAAGCAGATCGTTAATTCCCCAACTGTGAAGAGCTTACCAGATTTTTTTCTTTCATGCTCCCAATTAGCTGATCTTTCAGTTCACTTTCATGTAATATTTCCACTTCATATAAATGGAACAACAACTCCTGACAACAGACTGCAAGGCAAATCAAGCGCTTTTTAAAAAAAAATAGATGTAAAAAAAAAATAGATGCCACGAAAAACAAACCAACGTTAAGGGTCCAAATAACCATCGACAAATCTATTATTAAGCAATGCCCAGTACCTTTTCATTCTAAATATTATTTTTAAAAAACATGTCACGCCTTATTAAATCAGTTACGCGCATGTCTGTCTAATCATGGTTAGGCAGTTACTGTATGTTATTTAACCAAGCTCTAAAAGAGGCCTTAATTTATCCACTCAAGGTTGCCGCCAACCTGTGTTAATGATTTTGAATTTTTTTTAGTAAATAAATTAAAATAAAAAATATTCATTTCTACAATTTTTCAAAGGTTAAATGACTTTGCAGAAGGGAGTCCCAGCAGTGAATCCAACAGCAAATTTCCACAGTGGTCTTGATTCCCACCACCACCACCGCCAAAGAGAGCATGCGGGGAATTTAGATCAGGTCACATTTCCAACCAAATTTCCCTGGCACAAATTCTTTTCATTTAGAAAGAATACAAGAGCCGTGGCGTAGGGTGGAGAAGAGAATCAAACCTGCAGTCTGGTTCCTCTCTGGGAAGAGGGGAGAATACCAAACCCGACACCCCCAGATTCATCCTACTCTCTGGGAGGAGCTGTTATACCCCAGGTTTTTTGCAGCGGCTCCCCTGGAAATCCATCCTTGAATTTAGGTCCAGAGAGACCCCCCTGCTTTTCAGCTGTGGTTCCTTCATCCAAGGAAAAGCAGGGAGGAGGATGTGCCCCCAAGACAGGGCACCTGCTGCAGAGGGGGCATCAAAAACGTCAAGGTGGTGGCTATGACCTTGTGAGTAGAAGTCAGGTGGGGCTTCGATCACACGTTTGTGGCCACCATCTTGACTTTATGACCTCCCCATGGATATCATTGTCCTGGGAAATGCTTTTTTAAGCATGCCAAGACTTCCTATAGGCCAGTGTTTTGGCAGCTTTAAGACATGTGGACTTCAACTCCCAGAATTCCCCAGCCAGCATGGGTTGTGTGTGCAAAATAGAGAAAAGGAAAGTTTAAAAAAAAAAGAGGTTCATTTTGAAGAACTACAGCAGAATACAGGAGAGAGCAGGTACGCTTTGGCTCGGTTTATCCTCTTTTATCCAGTTTTTCATTAATAACCCTACACAAATGTAAGTTTATAGACTTTAATTGCCTACTTCCACCAGGCTGGAACCCATTCCCTTATTTTCCATAGAAACACCACCTTGAATAGTGTGAATTCCCTTTCGTGGGATTCCTTAACCACACCGAGATCTACATCCTTACCAGCTGGATTAGTTCCACGGGCCAAACAGCGCCCACTCCCCCAAATCAGCTATGAGAAATTGGGTCTCCGGAGGCTTCACAAACCATTCCTTTCCAGGTCGGTTAAAAAGCTAGGACCTCTGTTTGCTTACACCCTAAACTTGGTTAGCTGTAATCCTGGTATCACCTAGGGTGGGAAGGGTCTTAGGGTGTTGTAGGACTCTAGCCATTTGGGAAGTTTCCCCTACCAGTGTTCTGAGCGGAGGAACTCGGTCGCTCCCACCCTATAAATTAAAAATTCCAATATTTCAATAAGTGAGAGCCAGTTTGGTGTAGTGGTGAAGGTGCTGGGCTAGAAACCAAGAGATGGTGAGTTCTAGGCTTCCCTTAGGCACAAAAGCCTGGCTGGGTGACTTGGGGCCAGTCCCTCTCTCTCAGCCCAAGCCACCTCCCAGGGTTGTTGTTTTGGGGAAAATAGGAGGTCGGAGGATTAGGTATGTTCAGCGCCTTGAGTTACACATAAAAAAGTGGAGGAGGAGGAGGAGACATCTGGACTTTCTTCTGTGCAATGTAGGAACATGTGCTGTGCGCTCATGCACAGGGGTGCAACAGGAAGTGTGAAGTGGGCTTGACAGGCTCCCTTGTGGGTCACGTGACTGGGAGAGAGGCGGGCTCAGGACGGAGGAGTCGGCAACGTTCTGAGCCGCTGCCCGACCACCAGCTGTCCCGTAGGGTTCTTTTTCCTGGATTTTTCCTGGATTTTTTTTCTCTGCAGCCCCCAGCCAGATCCGGCTCATTTTCAAGCTGGATCTCTCTTTCGCTGGCTTCTCCTCCCCGCCGCGCCAAATTTGGCCCCCTTCTGCTCCGTCTCCACAAAACTACCTCGCTGATGGGCAGATGGAGCCACAGAGTCCTGAGCCCAGTGAAATCACTTCCAGGGGGTTGGAAAGAAAAGAAAGAACAAAACCAAACCATCAGAGAAACGCCACGAACGACGCAACTTAAAAGCGTACCTTCATCGTTTGCATAACTGGTTTTTTTAAATGCAGCTTCAGGCAGCTTTTCTCGCAATTCAGGTATCCCCACAACGTATTTGATTTCCAGCTTGGCCGGCCTACAGAAGAAGAAAAGCGCAGAAGGGTTGGGGGGGGGGCGTGGACTGAATCAATCTCTCGGTCATCCGGGCCGGAGAAACGCCAGAACCGGAGCCTAGAACAATCCCCCATGTTCTCTCACCTTTGGGATCCAGATAGAAAGTTTCGAATGCAAAAGGGCTGCCGGTTCACAAAACGGCAGCTTTCACACCGGGAAATCTCGTCGTTTTATCTACAGATCTACTTCCCTTCGTTTCTATTCAGCCCAAATCTGGAGCTAGTTTTCAACGCCTCTTCACTGAAATTGGCCTTCATTCCAGCGGAAGAGACTAAACCAGTCCTCGTACTTACAACTGAACCGGAATCGAAGCCTGAAAGGGCGATCGAAGGACGATGTCGCACACTCGCTGGTTCTGGATGAAGAGCTGTCCTTCCCAGGCACGATACAGCACTTTAGGGGTTTAAAAAGAAAGAAGTGGGGGGGGAGATGGTTATTCCTATTTCTATAAATATACGTTCCACTGCAATGGGGAAGAAAAACCCCAAACCAGCCAGCAAAAAAAAAAGAACAGCATTTTTTTTTACCTTTCATCTCATGTTCAGCTCTGCAGAAGTGAAAAAGGGGAAGAAAAATGAAAGTGGCTTTAAAACACAGGAAAAGCTGTAAATTAGAGAAACAACTGCTTTGGTCGAACGACATCGAGTCACTCACAAGCTTTTGCAGCTGAGCGGCCACATCCTCCAAGGTCTCCACCCAGCCGAGCGAGCCTTACGTGGGGGCTGGTCCGAGGGACATGGAGCGATGCTACCTACCACCATAGACGACCTCCGAACGGCTCTGGGGTTGGGGAGGAACCATGAAAAAACAGGACGATTTTATTTAGAGGTCAAGCAAGTCCAAAGGGCTTTCGGTCAGTCCTATAGCTTTCAGTACCGGAGGGGGGGAGTTCATGCAAATGGAGGAGTTCCCACCTTTTAAGACAGAGAAGCTTCTGCAACAAGGCAAGAGCCAAAAACTCAATATTTGGGGAGGCACCACTTTGTCCCCCCGTTTAGCCTCCCAGGGTGACCCCCAAATGCGGTAACCAAGAGCTGGCCACGTCTCATTGGAGAAAGGGCCTCAACTGCTGAGGAGGGGGATTAAAGTAAGAGGAGCTGCTCCTTGTTACTGGGTGGGGTTGGGGGGTCTTTGGGGGTCAGGGAACAGGTGGGGCACTGACCCTCTTTCGAGTGGTTTTTATTGATTTTCTGCACTATCCGAGTCAAAATGCTGGAATTGCAAAGAAAACCTGGGGAAAGGCTGCCGTTGAAATTCAGGGCAGCGCGAAGGGGGATCTGGGGCCCCAGGAGGCCCCGGGAATGCAAACTGCTCCCCCATTTTAACACAGAACAGGGTGTTCGAAACAGAGGGGAGGGGGCTAGCTCTCTGCTTTGCAGCCCGTCTTTCCTTTTTGATGATGGTGGTTGGACTTTTTATGTTTTTAATGTTTTTAATCGGTTCGCCGCCCAGAGCCACTTTGAGGGGCTAGCCCGCAAATGGGATTAAGGCATATTGAATTCAGACAAAAGGGGCTTGGGGGCACACGAGCCCCCTTCCAACCGGGGACGGGCTGGGGCTCGGTGGGCACGCCTTACCTCCGTCCCGCAGCTCAGCTGGAGAAAACGCACGGCCTCCTCAAGTTCTTCCTTGGTGTAGCCACCTGCGTCCTCTTGCGCCGAGGAAAGAAGTGTGTCCTGCATTTAGACCAAGAAGAGAAGGGGACACCATGCTGGCTCACTGGCTTGGGGCACACGACATAGTTACCCATGGTTACGCCAACCGCAGTGAGCTCCAGGTCCTCGTTTTGCACCAAGGCACTCTGAGCCACCCGCTAACGACAGGGGACAGGGCTGGTCCCTCCAGGGTACAATCACGGGACTGCCCTTGAAGACCGTGCAGAAACCTTGACCGGTCCAGAATGCAGTGGCATGAGTGGTGATGGGCTTGCCTTGGTTTGCCCACGTGGCACCTCTGCTCCACAAGGCGCCCTGGTTGCCCGTCTGCATTCGGATGGGATTCGCCAGACTGGTTATGACCTATAAAGCTATATATTTGAGGGACCATCTATCTCAGTGTTTCTCAATCTCAGCAACTTTAAGATGGGTGGACCTCAGCTCCCAGAATTCCCCAGCCAGCCAGATTATTATTTCTCACCTTTCTTTACACATCAAAGGCCATTAAATCTACTTGTTATAGGGTCAGGCAGCCTCATACATTTAATAAAATAAAATGGCTATCAAAGGAGGATACCCAAAATTAGCAGAGAAGGGTCAATGTACAGATTGGGAGGGGTGACCATAGCAACTTCCCTGGTTTTTCAATGTCTCTAGGCAGTGTTTCTCAACCTCGGCCACTTTAAGATGGGTGGACTTCAACTCCCAGAATTCCCCATGGCTGGCTGAGGAATTCTGGGTATTGAAGGCCACCCGTCTTATAGTGGGCGAGGTTGAGAAAAAATGCCTAGAGAAATTTAAAAAAACGGGAAG